TCTCCACCCACTTCAACGCTACCGATCTAGCCTTCTCTGCCGGCTCCAGGCGGCAGGCAACCTAACCAGCCCCTCGATGGATCAGCACGACGACTTCGACAGCGTCTCGTGGAGGCATGACCCGGACAGTGATCTCTCGCGACCTACGACTTCCGGGACAGATACAGAGGAACAGGAACCATACACTCACGATGTCAATGGCAAACGGAGGATGAGCAACGCTGAAGAGAGCCCCCAGGCTGGGCCACTGGCGGATGCCGTCGACCTGGCGGGTATTGGCGACGGTGTGCTAGAGTGCCGGGTAGATTCGCCGTTGAAAGAGAATGATGGGACAAAAGACGCTTATATTTCATATCTGGTTACTACTACGGTGGGTTGTCTCTGCCTTCAGTGATCTCGAATGGAGACGAGTATGTGGTTGCAGTGTTCGCTGACCAGAACTGTAGACCGATTTCAAGTCCTTCCAAAAACCCGAGTTCACCGTGCGACGCAGATTCACCGATTTCTATTTCCTATACAAGACGCTTTATCGCGAATACCCTGCCTGTGCCGTCCCGCCGCTGCCGGATAAGCATAAGATGGAGTATGTCCGCGGCGATCGGTTCGGACCCGAGTTCACCACCCGACGGGCATGGTCTCTACATCGCTTCTTGAAACGGCTTACGCTGCATCCCGTGCTTCGGCGCGCGCCGTTGCTGGCCATCTTTTTGGAATCTCCCGACTGGAATGCACACATGCGGTTGCGATCCACGCGCAACTCGACCAGCACCTCGGACGGCAGCGGGGTTCCTGGGATCTTCGACAACTTTACCGACACCTTTGTCAACGCTTTCACTAAGGTGCATAAGCCGGATAAGCGGTTTATTGAAGTGCGGGAGAAGGCGGATAAACTGGACGAGGACCTCAATCATGTGGAAAAGATTGTAGCCCGGGTGGCTCGGCGAGAATCGGACCTCGAGGCAGACTATAATGACCTGGCTACGCAGTTCCGCAAATTAGTGCCCCTGGAACCGGAGGTGGAGGTCCCCTTACAAGTCTTTGCAGCCTCGGTAGAGGAGACGGGGCGCGGGCTCAAGACGCTTAAGGATCACACCGATCAAAATTATCTGGGGTCGCTGCGGGATATGGAGGCGTACATTGTATCGCTTAAAGCCCTCCTCAAGACGCGCGAGCAGAAACAGCTCGACTTTGAAGCGCTGGTCGACTATCGAAACAAGGCGGTGGCGGAGCGGGACTCCCTCGCCTCAAACCCCTCTTCCTACTATGCCTCCAACCCGCTGACCTCTTCCCCGGCCTCTTTCATCCGGTCCAAGATGGAGGACATGCGGGGTGTCGATCACGAGCAATCGCGACGCGAGCGGGTGCGGAAGTTGGAGCTCCGCATCGACGAGCTCACGCGCGAGGTCGAGTCGGCCAAGACAACGTCGGAGATGTTCGACGAGGAGGTTGTGCGCGAGGTGGCAGACTTCGAGCGCATCAAGGCCGTAGAGTTCCGGGATACGCTTGGGGCATTGGCCGAGAAGCAGATCGAGTTCTACCAGGGGGTACTGAATACCTGGGAACGATTTGTGGCTGAGATGGAGGGAGATTTGGAAGAAGAGCATGACCCAGGCATGGAGGAGAGGTGATAACTTTTACTACTACTACTACAACCACCATTGCTACATTTAGGTACTACTGATTATGACACTGTGATATCGCACTAGCCATGTTTCTTTTTGTTCGCTTCATGAGGGTTTTGATTCTCTTATTACCATTACGGAAGGAGATTGTTGCTTCATGAATGAAATAATCATTACGACGTTGCACTTTTCACTCTGTCCTTCTTTCCTCCTTTTACTCGTCTTAGAAATCCTACCATCTATCCATCATCCTCATCCCCGCAATCACCATGAAACCCAATCAATTCCCCACCAACCTCTCCCTAACCCTCTGACTCTCCGCCCACTCCAAATCAAGGGGACTCGGATCCCTCTGCGCATTAGGGTCCACCACAGCCGGATCCAGCGCGCGAGTCGTATGTCTTCGCACGATATTCTACAACAGGGATATACCCCTGATATCAGATACACCCTTGCGCAAGCACACAACTTCCCGAACAAACACATAGTATATAAAAATCATGCAATGAAATCAGGTATGGTACTAACCTCCCTATACACCTGATTCGGCGTCTTGCTTCTGTTCTTGTCCTTGCGGGTATCATCACCATCATCCCCGGACATTAAATGGAGGTAGACTTCATGATCGTAGTCGATTCTTTGCGATGATGGGTTGGCAAAGTTGGCGGATAGATGGGGTCTTTCTTCTTGTGTTTGGGATTGGGATTGGGATTGGGATTTGGATTTGGGGTTTTTGGTAGTAGTGGTGTTTGATGAGGACATCTTTCCTTCTTTCCTGTCTCGGTATGTATAGTATGGTAGTAGGGTTGTTATGGGAGTGAAATGATAGATGGTATTAAAGTTGGAGAAAAAAATTCAATTGAGTTGTAGGGCTGTGTCTGGGTACTAATATACTTTAAAGTTCTTCAGGGTTTTACTAGTTATCTTTTTCTGTTTTTGGCTTGAGGGGGGTGTGTTTCGCCTTTCTGCAGTAGTGGAATTGGAATGGGTGCATTGTGGCGGAGTGAATGCATGGTGGCAGTGGCAGTGAGAGTGAGTGAGATTTGGAGTCAGGGGGAGGGATGGCATGTTGCATTTTGTGGAAATTTGATGGTATGCTGAGATATGTATTTCTTGGATTGATTATTATGCAGGAGGAAAGTTAGTATTTGGGGGCGAGAATGAGTAGTTGCTTGGGGGTTGAAAGATGACTTACACTTGTTGATGGTAGTTGATGGATGCGGAATGATGTTTGCTCTGTTTGCTTTAGTATCTGGTGATGGCTTCACTTTCCCTTCCACTTCCGGCTTCTCGCTCTCTCTTCCCCGCTGTTCACTGCCCCATCTCCCATAATGCGTCCTCTTTCTCGGACGGCTCTCCGTCCCTACGTTTGCCCGTCTTGTCAATTGGGCCGTCTTCCTGCCCGCAGGAGATATGCTTCCCACTCGCCCTCCAATGCTGCGGCACCCGAGATCTACGATGTCGTCTGCGTCGGCGGTGGTCCTGCCGGTCTAGGCCTGTTGGCTGCACTCCGTATGCTGCTCCAATGCGCTGTATACCTTCAATTGGTGTCTCTGACTGACTTCTCTAGGGGCTAATCCCACCACCTCAAAGCTGAAAGTCGCCCTGGTTGAAACTCAAGACCTGAACAAAGCCCGCTCGTGGTCCCTCGATGCGCAGAACTACTCCAACCGCGTCAGCAGCCTGACTCCCTCCTCCGTCTCGTTCCTGAAGAAGATCGGCGCCTGGGATCACCTTGACACTTCCCGCGCTCAGCCCTACCAGGAGATGCAAGTCTGGGATGGCGAAACCGGCTCGCGCATCTCATTCGACTGGTCCATGGAGACCTCTCCGTTCGAAGACCTCCGCACCGTCGCGACCATGACCGAGAACTCCAACCTCGTTCGCGCCCTCCTCTCCCGCATTGCCACCTCCGGGGACGACAACCTCTCCCTCTTCCCCAACAGCACCGTCTCCTCCATCACCAATGGCACCGATACCCCCGACGGCCCCGACCTCTCCGCCTGGCCCGTCCTCTCCATCACACCCACCAACACCACCACCACCCAACCGCCCACTCGCATCGCCGCGCGCCTCCTCGTCGGCGCAGACGGTATTAACAGCCCTGTCCGCCGCTTCGCCGACATCGCCACAGACGGATGGGACTACAACCGCCACGGCATCGTCGCGAGCCTCTCCCTCGCCGACCTAGACCCCGCTCCGTTCCCTCTCGGAATGAGAACCGCCTACCAGCGCTTCCTCCCCTCCCTAGGCGGACCCATCGCCCTGCTTCCTCTCCCTAACAACAACGCAACCCTCGTCTGGTCCACGACCGTCGAAAACGCCGCCTACCTCAAATCCCTCTCCCCGAAGGCCTTCATCTCCATGGTCAACGCCGCCTTCCGCCTCTCCATGACCGACCTCCAATACATGCTGCGCATGGAACGCCCCCCCTCTACTACAACCGAGAACCCCTACGAAGACGAACTCACCTGGCGCCTCCAACACACCCCGCAGCCCTCCCACCTCCCACCCATGGTCACAGGCGTCCAGGAAGGCAGCGTGGCCTCCTTCCCCCTCCGCTTCCGCCACGCCTCCACCTACGTCTCTCCCCGCGTGGCTCTCGTCGGCGATGCCGCGCACGTCATCCACCCGCTCGCCGGTCAGGGCTTGAACCTGGGTCTAGGCGACGTGGCGTCCCTGGCGCAAACCATCGAGTACGCCGTGCACCATGGTATGGATGTAGGCGATTTGCTCACTCTTGAGCGGTATGCGTGGGATCGGTACGGCACGAATGCAAAGATCGGTGGTGCTTGTGATGTTCTGCATAAGTTGTACAATGTTCCGGGCAATGGACCTGTGGCGTGGGCGCGCAGTCTGGGATTGGATGTGATTGATCGGGTGCCGTTTGTTAAGGGGTTGTTGATGAAGGGGGCTGAGGGGTCGTAAATCAACCTATGTTTTTATTATGAGGTAGGAAGTGGTATGTATATTATTACTTTTCTTTAGCAGTACTTTAGTCGATTTAACTACGTGTATGATATGATTACATGTGTGCAGTATATCAATCTCATGCTCTATAAGTACTAACTACTACATTCCAATGACAATAAAATGAATAAGGATGGACATATACCATTATAGCAAAACAGTGTACAGTAAAGAACCGATCTCGCTCCAATTCGACTGCTATCTATCTATACCACACCAAGACAAAAGCAACAAATGAAAAGCGAAAGATAGAAGTGAAAATAAACCCCCGGGTATTGTATTTTAAGAACATCTTCGTCAAATTTTTTCTTTTTCTTCCCACCCTTATACTTTTTGTAAATGGAAGTTGAACGCTCTTAGCACAAATAAGTTGAAACCCATCTAAGCCCTGTATATGGTTTCCCATCTCTATGCATCAACCTTCATCTCACCCAACTGCTGTGCAACACCCTCAACACTCCCTCCCCGCTTCTTAGCCACCCGGGCCTTGACCTCCGCCGGCAGAGCAGTCAGATCGACCAGAACACCTTCCTTCTCGGGGTGTCCGTCCTCCAGACCCATTTCCTTGACGCGGACCTTGCCGGCCGCGAGCTCGTCCTCGCCCAGGATGACGGCGAAGGGGACGCCGGCTTGTTCGGCGGCCTTGAATTGTTGGGGGAGCTTGGGCTTGACCTTGTAAGAGAATTCGGCCTGTAGATCAATATTAGTATATACGATCAGGAAAGGAGGGAGGGAGGGGGTATGTGGGGGAGGCTTACCTTGACGCCAGAGTTCCAGAGAGTCTGGCACACGCTCATCCGCTCCTTCAGCATACCAGTGAAGCCCTTACCACCAAAGGCCATGACGTAGGCATCAACCTCGCTGCTGCGGAGGGCCTCGGCGCTCTTCTCACGCTCGAGACGGGCCTTGGTGATGGAGAAGATACGGTCCACACCGAAGGACACACCCACACAGGGGATCTGCGCCTTGGGCAGGAACATGCCCACCAGGTTGTCGTAGCGACCTCCCGCGGCGACACTGCCGACACCAAGGGTCGGGTCGTTGGAGCGGTCGTCGTCTTCCGAGTTGCCGCCCTTGGACTTGCTCTTCTTGCCGGACTTCTGCACGGCCTGGGCCTCCGGTGCGGAGGACGCCACGGCGGGGGCGGAGCCCTCGGTGACAACCTCGTAGATGACACCGGTGTAGTAATCGAGACCACGAGCCAGACTCATGTCGAAGGAGATCTTGTCCAGCACACCGAATGCCTCAAGGTAGTCCATGAGCAGACCCATATCTTCGAGACCGGCCTTGGCGGACTCGTTGGCAGTCAAACCCTCGTCCTTGAGGAGGTTATCAAGGAGCTCGCGGCCACCCTTGTGCATCACGTATGTCTCGATCTTATCGGCCACGGCAGCGTCCAGACCCTTCTCCTCGACCATTTCCTTGCGCACATCCGCCCAGGGCATCTTGTCCAGCTTGTCGACGGCACTGGAGATCGGACGGATCTTCTCCTCGGGCACGCCGCAGACCTGGAAGACACCGTCGAGGATCTTCCGGTGGTTGATCTTGATGTTATAACGACCGTTCCAGCCCAGCTCCTCGAAGACTTCGGTGACGATGCGCAGGATCTCGGCATCGGGGACCATGGGGTCGAAGGTACCGGCGATATCGAAATCGCACTGGTAGAACTCGCGCATGCGACCCTTGCTCACGGCGGGCTGATCGCGACGGTACACCTTGGCAATGTGGTAGCGCTTCATGCTGCGGACGTCGGGGTTCATGGCCAGCCAACGGGCGAAGGGGACGGTGAGATCGTAGCGGAGGGAGCAGATTTCTCCACCCTGGTCCTGGAGGTCGTAGATGAGCTTGGAGTCCTCGCCATACTTACCGGCGAGAATCTCGCGCAGCTCGAAGACGGGGGTGTCGAGGGCAGTACCGCCATGGCGCTTGAAGACGTCGGCGATGGTGGAGAAGATGCGGTCGCGGAGGAGGGCGTCGGAGCCGGACCAGTCCTTGGTACCCTTGGGGGTCTTGAGGTTGAAGGAGAGCTTGGATTCCTTTTCTTTGGGCATGGTGGAGAGCGAGCGAGAGGGATGGGGGAGGGGAATGGAGGGGGAAGAGGAGGGAAAAGTCGAGTGGGAGAGGGAGATGTGGTAGTGGCGGTGGTGGGGGATGGTGGGGGCTTCGATCGCCTGCCGGATGTTTGGCCGCTCTCTGGTTTGGTGCTGCTGAAGGCTACTACCGCTCCTGTTGGTGCTGCTGCTGGTGCTGCGTCTGCAACTGCTCGCTGAGGCCCGGGGATACTCCGTCAGGGCTCGTCGGGCGGAGCGGAGAATGCGTGGTTGGAGTGAGGGGTGCATTCAAGGAATTGATGTCGGACTCTCCCGCGCGAACCGGCGTTATAGACGGGCAGCCTTAAATTCAGGAGCAAAAGATGTTTTGGAGGTAAAGTCGAAGTCGGCGAATCGGTGGTTGAGATTTGTGAGTCAAACAGTGCATATGGGAGGTAGATCATTTATAATTATAAGGGTGACTACTCTTATCAAATTGACACTTTGGCCGAGTGGTTTAAGGCGCAGGCCTGCTACTACCTTATTGTACTAGCTGTTTAGCCTGTGGGTTCGCCCGCCTGGGTTCGAGTCCCAGAGGTGTCGCATAAATACTTTTTTAGTATTTTTTGGTCTACCAGCATGATGACCCCGGAATATATGCATTTCTTACAGCCCCCCTTTTTTTTCCTTTTTTTTTTTTTTTTTTTTTTTGGGTTCATAGAGTTGGTTCCTTGCTATGCCATGATAAATTACCAGCCATCTCGGCCAGCGCTGCGAATTGTTTTTCCGCCCCTTGACGATGTAGCAGGGATCATAACAAGTCACATCGTAGCTGGAATGCTGGCTAGATCTACACATTCCTGGTCCACATCAGGAACCTCGTGGCTAGAAAATGATGCCAGATCGAGGCTGCAAGCGGCAAGAGGTTTACCGATGCCCTCAGGCTTATAACAACGCCTAAGTTCGGTGGGAGATATTAGAAGAGGTATCATCTCGTGCACTGTCCGTTATCACAGATTGACGCTTATCCAGAAACAAGCTGGCTGAGTCGTGGAGTTCTCCTGCCAAGGAAGTATTAATAGTTACAAGTATAACAGGAGATACTTCGCAGTAGACTAGAAATCCTCACTGAAGGGACACTTTAATAGAGCAATGTCCGTCGGGCTCAGTAGATCACTGAATGGGGCATGCGACAAGTTTCCAGTCTTACACAGTCATACAACGTAGTAGTACGGGGGTAACGAACTCCCTGCGAGTAAAGCATAGTATGAACACTGCCCTGGTTGGTAGTTGTCATTGGAGTGCCTTCTTACTCAGATTCGGATTCGGTCCCATTCCGCCATCCGACCGAGGGCGAAGAGCCAAGTTGAACCCGAGTACAAAGCCGCAGTCACCACTGCTACTTAGTACTACTTAGTACTACAGCCCAACCTGTCCCACTCCCAAGCCCCAGCCCCCCAAACTGGTTTTCTAACTCGCCATTCCAGCCAGAATCCCTGACCAGCCGTTATGGTCTTACCTATTCCAAGATCTGCCCCCGTGGTAGATTCAAGCACATGGATAGTATCAACCCACATGGACAGGGGCGCTTATTGGCGGGGAAAACGGTGGCTTGATGTGAGGCAGACCGGCACATGGGGTGATGTTACACTTTGTAATTTGCACACCTGAACGTCTGTAAGTATTGTGTTTTTTGCTTCGGTTTGACCAGGCACACTAAGAGTAAGTGCACTGCACACCTCCATCCCAGTAGCAGTAGCAAAAACCTACTCTTACTTCGGACTAGACTCCGGAGTAGACCGAGCGCGGTGGAAGGTTCCATTTAGACGCCCGCAGCTTTTTAGTGCAGGCCCTAGTGCCCCCATGTCCACCCAATGACGTTATGGCCTGTTCTCAAGGATCTTCCCCAAAGGCCATTGATTTGTCGCAGGCTTGAAACCCAGATCCATGGTGCTTATCAATTGGCAGTTTAATAAGCTAAACCCGGGTTATGATGTTACCTAGTTAGTAGTAAATATCTGGCGCTTTTATCGGGCTGAACGGACGCAGAGCGGATGCTATCGGTTACGCCGTAAATCCGTTGGTCTTCTAACTTTCGCGTGTATTCATGGTTGGTTGAAATTGCAAGGGCAGGCTGCGTTATGATTTTTATGCAAGCGTATAAATTATGGTTTCACTGCCGAACTCGATCCGATTTAACTTTACCACGGATGCAAGTGGCAGCTGTTGTTCCTTGACAGAATCGGAAACCGACACGAGTGTTCACTTGGAACGGAATGGAAAACCAAACCCTGCTCCTTATGGGTGTGTTTGTGTGTACTGTTGTAAGGCACAATTACATCCGCTCCGTACAACGCCTTCGGTCTGTATGACGCTAGTATCTCAAATGCTGGGGTGGATGGGGTATGTGGGGCGGATTAAATTATGCGATTGGTCACAGGGCACCCTTCTGATCCTTGAGTTTCCACGTGGTTCTGGTGTAGCGTGATACGGTATGTATGACATCGTACCTATCCATGTTCACTTTGTGTACACTAACATCGTAACCGCTTACTAGGTGGTACTGATCTTATCTAATAATGGTATGGCCCCGACCGTACCCCAGAAAGAGGGGGAAAGAAAGGTACAACGTTGTAGTTAAAGAACGCAGATGACGATTGCATGGTACTACAACTGGAAATGGCAAAGTTAATATAGAATAAGAACTGGATCGGAATGCTCGAGGGGTCTCCTGACCCCCATCGCAAGTGCCCCTGGTACCTCCCCGCCCCCTTGGGAAAAGCAAATACCCCGGACAACAAAGGCGCTGCGATAACTTGCCAACATGAAGCCACCGCCAAGAACGCCGCCAGGCCGGACTGGTTGCTAAAATCACGCAGTTTATCCCGCGTCCATGACCACTCGATAGATAGACTGCTGAGATAGCTGTGAGTGCTGGTCGATTTCAGCATCTCCTCCCTCTATCTATCTATCACCAACACTAGTCACGGCTATTGCTAGCGCAGGGTATTCTGCTCAGTTGGGTTTCCATGCCTGCAGTGGAAGCATAGCCACCCCACGCATCTCAACGCAACCTATGTGCGTTTCAGGTAGTACCGGCCGCAGAAGGCTCGTGGAAAGGCTAAGCCATGCCAATGGGCTGGCAACAAATCAGAGCGGTGGTTTTCGACATCGACGCAACCGCACCTCAAGACTCGTACCTTCCATATTACCCGATGACCACTTGTTCTGCGCAAGCTTTCTCTGTCTGTCTTCCACATCAGTCCTCTGCACGGCTTATCTTCTCTTGTGTTCGTCACACAGGCTTGACTAGGAGGAGACAAGAATAGACGAATTCTTAGCATGCCAAATTTAAATCTGTCGGTCAATTGTCCTTCGGATTTAAAGAGTAACTGGCGGAGTTTACGGCGGAGGGGAGAACCACCGGGTATATTTCAGGGCCAGTGGATCTGGCCTCAAATGTCACCCCCTCCTCTTCTGGTGTTAGTATTGCATTGCACGCGGTGTAGAAGGGTATGTTTGTGGATGAACTTTAATATATGGAAATTGTGACGTAGTGTAAAGAGCTGAGCCAGCTATAGGGGGGCCACTTGAACTCGCTAGGATCAAGATGAGAGAAAGGAGTAAAGATTCTAGTCATAGTGAGGGGGAAACACAGAATGGGGCTGGTCCATCGGATGTCTCTTTTGGGAAGATGCGTGGGAGGAGTTAAAATCATGAAAACCGCTGTAAAATACTGGTGAGTGTTTTTTGGGTAAAGAAACCTATGACTGAGGTTTACCGGAGTTGGTGTGAGATCGAGAAGACGGCCGGGTGTTTCTTCTTGCAGTCACCACACAATTTGCGGGGGAAAGAAAGCCAAACACATCTAGACTCGGATGACTATGGGAATATGCTCCCGTCCAAACGATGGTTCAAAGTCTCTCTCTCTCCCCCAGTCTGTGACAGTAGCACCCGTCAAAGCCATCTTTCCCCTCCTCGAAACGTTCGTCTCCAAAAGTCAAATCGGGTTTGCCCCCCCAACCGCTCGGGCCCGCGCACCCGCCCGTCATTACGGGAGAACCCCAATGTAATATTACCCAGGCAGATGTGAAAGGCTGTATTTAGTATCCACTGCAAAGTATCTGGTGTATCGAACAGTGTACTGTGTATGGCTCGAGGTTCCTGACTTGGGGAATAATCCGGCTACCAACAACGTCGTTCCCCTACTCCCGCCTCTCCTCTCTCTCTCTCCCTCTGCCTCTGTCTCTCACTTATTCTATCTCTTTCTTCTCTTGTTCACCTTCTTCCTCTCCTTGTCTGACCTTGCATTCTGCCTACTCATCTTCTTACACATCCCTTCGACCCCCGTTGCTTTCAATTCGCCTGTGCCTTTCTCCCTCCGACCGCAGCGTTCTCCACCTTCGATTTCCGCCGCCCGTTCACGTTCCGCCCCATTCCTGGTTCACTCATCCACATCTTCCTCCCTCAAGCCCTTTCTCAAACGCTCGTCGGATCCGCGGATTTAGGAAACCCTATGCCGAGAATCTAGACTCTCTTCTTTTAATCCTTTGTCGCTGCCACTCCGTTGTGTCAAAAACCCCATCATATCGCCGACCGTTGCTCTCACAAACCCTCCTATCTCTACTCGACTTCGCTTACTGGTTCCTGCTGTCGCATACCGGCTGGCTCGCCTGCGCGCCGATATAACGCTTCACATTCACTCCCCTTCGGTTCCGGTGTCGGCTACTGTGTCCCGCGAAAGCTACCAGATGAAGTTGTATACTAAGGTCTTTGAGACTTTGCGATAAACATGGGGTCTTTTCTGAGGAGTTTCCGGAGAGATGTGGTAAGTTCCTTCAATCTGCTGGCTTGGCCGCGCTTCTTTTGCCTCTGAGCATGCTCTGGCCTCCTACATCTTTGGGGCATACCAACCTGCCTGGTTAAGTTGGCGATCCTTGGGAAATCGTGAAAGGACATGCGGCATGCCCATTAGATCGCTGGAGAGCCAACCTGTCGCGTCTCCATTACCGTTCGCCACAACTACCACAATGCTGACTGCATCGTTTTCAGGGATCTTCCACTCCTTCGGTCGGGGCGACTCCCGCGAAGAAAGAACCCCTGGCGCTTCCGATGACCCCGCTGGAGAAGATGCTGCAGGAAATGGGTTCGGATTCGGTTCGACAAGACGGTAGCGACAAGTTTTTCGGCATGGAGAACGTGAGTTGGCCCTTCCTGCAATCTATACCCCGGTTTGGCGGAGTTGCTAACAGTGGCTTGTGCTGTCCAGTACGGAAATACTTGGTGAGTGGCCAATTGATACCAACCATTCAGCAGAGGGGAGGAACCCCGTCCCAGAGTCATGTCACTAATCCCCCGTTTGCGCAGCTACTGTAACTCAATCTTGCAGTGTCTCTATTATTCAGTACCCTTTCGCGAAGCCGTGCTCAACTATCCGACACGAACGCCAATAGAAACCCTGGAGGCTGCTTTGGCGAAGAACCTTCGCTATCAGAACTTCGCCGCGAACCAGGAAGCTGAGGCACAAGCAGAGAAACAAAGACTCGCCAACGCTCAGCGACCCGGCGCACCTCCCGCTCAGCCACCGAAACCCGAAGATAAGGATTCATCTGAGTACAAAAAGAAAATCGCCCTGCAGTCACTGCCGTTGTTAGAAACGAAAAACAATGCAGGCAGCTATGGAATGTCGGAATCGCTCTTCACGTCGCTCAAAGATATCTTCGAATCCGTCGTTGCGAGCCAGTCCAGGATAGGTATCGTACGACCACAGCATTTCCTCGACGTTCTTCGCCGTGAGAACGAAATGTTTCGGTCGGCGATGCATCAAGATGCTCACGAATTCCTGAACCTTGTGCTGAACGAAGTAGTCGCCAATGTAGAAGCGGAAGCCATGAAGCAACCTATACCGAGCTTACCGCCAGCCGACACCACCGACTCCTCCCGGCAGTCGATCAGTTCGGGCTCTAAAACTCCCAACACTACGCGATGGGTGCACGAGCTGTTCGAGGGAACCTTGACATCAGAGACACAGTGCTTGACGTGCGAGAATGTTTCCCAGCGCGATGAGATTTTCCTAGATTTGTCGGTAGATCTGGAGCAGCACTCGTCGGTCACTTCATGTCTGAGGAAATTCTCGGCAGAAGAGATGCTCTGTGAGCGAAACAAGTTTCACTGCGATAACTGCGGTGGGCTCCAGGAGGCTGAGAAAAGGATGAAAATCAAGCGCCTCCCGCGAATTCTGGCCCTGCACCTCAAGCGATTCAAATATACCGAGGATCTCCAGCGACTGCAGAAGCTCTTTCATCGGGTCGTGTACCCCTACCATCTTCGTCTTTTTAACACAACAGACGACGCGGAGGATCCTGATCGCCTATATGAGTTATACGCCGTGGTGGTCCACATTGGGGGCGGTCCTTACCACGGGCATTATGTGTCCATTATCAAGACACAGGATCGCGGATGGCTGCTCTTTGATGACGAAATGGTGGAGCCTGTTGACAAGAACTACGTGCGCAACTTCTTTGGTGATAAGCCTGGCTTAGCATGTGCCTACGTCCTATTCTACCAGGAGACTACATTGGAGGCTGTTTTGAAGGAGCAAGAGATGGAGAACATGAATGCCAGTGCGGCTGAAGCGAATGAAGCTGCTGTGAAACCGAACGGCTTCCCCCACCCCTCGGGATTGGCACATGTTCATAGTGCCTCGCAGATCCCTGTGCCAGACGAGCCCCAACGACACACGGGCCTCCGACGAGCCCCCACCGCACCTCAGCTACCCACACATACAGAATATACTGGTCCAGACATTGAGCCGTCAAGTCCCGCGATAGCAACTCCACCTCCGGTTCCGCCAATACCTGAAACTGTCACTCGGCCTTTGAGCCCTAAGAAGAGTGACATCCAATCCAAGAAGGAGCGGGCTAAAGAAGAAAAGGAGCGCAAAGCAGCTGAAAAGGAGTTGGAGAAGCAGCGCCGGAAAGAACAAGAAGCGAGGGTTAAGGAAAATCAGCGACGCGAGGAAGCTGAACTAAAGGCTGCCCTGGAGGCCAGCAAAGCGTCGAAAGCAGATGAGGATCGACGCAATCCTACGGAGAACGGGAAGGACGGCGATCCGAAGAAAACCAGCAATGGTCTTAGCCGGTTGAAACGGGGCAGCAAGAGTTTCAGTCAGCGCTTGGGCAAAGACAAAGAAAGCCGTGCTTCGTCGTCTTCTGGCCTACCGTCAGTTCCTAGTGCCGAGCCTTTGACACCACGCCAGCCGCCATTGGAGCCCGTCCAGCCGCTCTCACCGCGGAAGACCTCCCCACCGAAGGAGTCGCACATCGTTCATAAGCCACTGGGCCAAGATGACGAGCCAGACGCTCTCAAGAGCCCCAAGGGCGACCGGGCAGGGCATGGGAAATGGCGGAGTTTTAGCATCCGGAAGAAGTCGTTCAGCATCCTTTCATAAGGCCCGTCATTCGCCGATTGCACCAAGCATGCATCTTTGTTCGTCTTTTGCACATAACATACGTGGACTTTTCGTACATACTTTCTTGATGTATCATCACACTTCTCTTCACTACCGGCTCCTTCATATGGCGATATTGCTCAGGGTGCGGGCATGTTGCCAGTGGATGCAAGGTTTGAAATGGGCCCGGTCCCTGTCTTACTTTTTTACTCACTATTTGGCTCTTGCCTGCATTGTGATGTCTTCGAACTTTGCTTCTGCATGTTGTTTTAGCCAACCATTGCTTCACTTGTTATTGCTATATATCTTCTTTGACTGCTATTTGATCATGTGATACCCGTGCCTGGGTCACACAGCTGGGCAAGTGAGGCGTTCGGCGAATGATGTTTTTTTTCCGGATTTTGGATTTTACAAGTTATCACACGTTGTCGATTTTACTACCATTCACAAATGGGTTACGGAGAAATGGGGTTCGCAATGGGTTCAAGGAATGCGAAGGGCATTTTCCATCGATGCCAGGAGCGAAAGAGGGAGCGCGATTCTTTGTGCAGGAAGAGAGTGAAGTTGAGATCTGGACTTGTCACATCTTGTCTGGTCATGTTGAGCATTTCATCCTTCGGGCTCGTGGGATAGACCATATGTATCAACATTGCGTGGTATATAGACCGATGCGAGTACACGCATTAGATAGTAACAAGACTATCAACATTGAAACAGAAGTGTTCATTATTATACCAGCTAGTACCCACATGAGCACAGAGTAGACATATACATGCGTCTCACCCTTAGCATTAGGATCATTACAGCATGGCACATCTCCATATGATTACAGTAGGACAGCACTCATCCCTGTTCTGTTCAATCCATTTTCAATCATACAATAAACATAACAATAAGAAAGAAGAAGGCAAAGGTTGATATACAGACACATCCTCCTTAAACCCCCCAAAACCAGAACAAGAATCCCAGCAGCAGTAGTAGTAATCATATATGTATGCATTTATATCACAACTCCCCATTCCCCATTCACATTATCCCTAGTTCACTTTCAATCCCATCTCTAACCCAGAATAAGCTCGTACACGATAATTATCGTATTGATCACAATAAGCGGTACTAAAAACAATTCCCCGCAGTCCGTTAGCTTGTGTCTCTCTTCTTTCCATTGTTTCCCACACATCGCATAGCTAGCTGGTATGCAATAGCGAAATTTTGGGGTTCGTTGACATACTTCGCATAACAGTCCTCACACTCGCAATCAGATTAATGGTCTTCGCTTTGACGCTGGTGGTATCGTAGGTTGCGCCGAAGGCTGGGTCGTTTTGTGTGCGGCCCCATCCGACTGTTTATCATCATTCCATGAGTTATTCATTCATTCATTCAATTTTGTGGCAGGTGAGTTGGGGATGGCGTACTTCTGGCTAGGAAGCGGTCTTCGGAGAGGACAGCGAGGGAGTTGATGAGGAGGATGATGACTGTGATTATGCGATTGGGTTAGTTGCTTGTTGTGCTGTCTCCTGTGGGATGATTTCAGGGTGATAAGGGGGTGATTAGGATGTGCGCACCGTAGACGAGCTTCCCAAGACCGAAGAAGAACATCTTGGGCGGTTGGGGGGAGGGAAGAGGACGTCAAATTGATGTGGTTCTCGAATGATGGTGGTGAAACGGAGATACTGGATGGAGATGGCGGAGGAGAGGCGGAGAAGCCGCGGCGGCAGTATCGCGGCATACGTAATTTTACCCGCTTGAATGTTGTTGTCCTTTTGGGTATACTCTTCTTTCTTGTTTTCTTGTTAGGGGTATTCTAGACATACTAAGAGAGTGTTTAGGGTGTCATCATGGGGAGAGATGTCGGTAGGTGGTCAATTATAGTTCTCAACATTGCACAATATACTGATCTACTCCCTAGTCTTCCTGCTGCTCCTCGCCGCAATTCCGGCCCTTGTTCTCCTCCATCTCGCCGCAGCTCCCTACACGAAGGTAGAGGAGTCGTTCCACATCCAGGCTATTCATGATATACTGTCCTCGGGAATCCCAACTCGCAATGTCTCCGAGACGCTGCGCGCTGAATATGATCACTTTGCCTTCCCTGGCGCCGTTCCTAGGACGTTCGTTGGCGCCGTGATGCTGTCCGGCCTGTCGCAACCATTGATCTGGTTGAAGGCCAACATTGACAGACAATTCCTCGGTATGTGCTTCTTTCTACGTGGTTCGAGAAATAGCGCTAACAATGGTGATTTACTTCCAGCACGCGCCATTCTGGGTCTTTTCAATGCTGCCTCAATACTGGCGTTTGCTTCTGGTTTGCGCCGCACTGCCGGCAAGACAACCGCAATCTGGTATCTACTCTTCCAGGCCAGCCAATTCCACATCTTCTACTACGCATCGCGGACCCTGTCCAACATGTTCGCGTTTGGCCTCACCACCCTGGCCCTGCGATATGTCCTCCCAGAGCCCGTGAGTCCGACAGTATACAGGAAGCGAGCTCGCCTCTCCCTCTACCTCATGACCGTCGCCGGCATCATCTTCCGCTCCGAACTGGCCATCTTCCTCGCAACCAACACCCTCTTCCTCTTTGCGACTCGTCGCATTACCATCCAGCGCGAGATCATCCCCGCCGGCATTCTCGGCCTGCTCGTCGGCCTCACCTCTACCGTCCTCGTGGACTCCTTCTTCTGGCAACAATTCCCCCTCTGGCCTGAACTCGCAGCCTTCAAATTCAACGTCATCTCCGGTCAAGCCTCCGCCTGGGGTACCCACCCCTGGCACTTCTACTTCACCAACGCCGTTCCCCGTCTTCTCCTCGACCCTCTCACTTACGTCGTGGGCATCCCCTTCGCCCTCTATCAGCCCTCCACCCGCGGCCTCGCAGCCAACACTCTCATTCCTTCCCTGTTCTTCCTCGCCATCTACAGCGCCCAACCCCACAAAGAATGGCGCTTCATCATCTACACCATCCCCGCACTCACCGCCGCCGCCTCCCTCGGCGCATCGTACATTTGGACCCATCGGACTAAATCCCTCCTCTACCGTCTCCTCTCCCTGGGCATGCTCGCATCCACCTTCGCCTCCTTCCTCCTCTCTACTTTTGTTCTCCTCCCCGCCTCGTCAGCAAACTACCCCGGTGCTCATGCCTTGAATACCCTCCACGACTACGCCGAGAATACCAACCCCACCTCATCCCCCGACTCCATTTCCGTCTACCTAGGCAACCTCGCCTGCCAAACAGGCGTCACCCGCTTCCTTCAACACCCCTCCTTGGTTTCTTCAGAATCAACCATACCCTCCTGGCACTACGACAAGACCGAAGACGAAACCACCAAATCATCCCCGACCTTCTGGTCACAGTTCGACTACGTCCTCATCGAACCAAGTGAAGAGTCGGAGAAGGTCCTCGGGTCCTGGGAAGTCGTCGACACAGTTGATGGATTCGCAGGACTAAGGATCGTTCGGCCGGGTGATGATGCTGTCGGGGCTGTGGAGGAGAAGGTGGTAGCATATGTGATGGGGGATGAAGGGGTGAGGTTGTTCGAGAAGGGGAGAGCGTTTGTGAGGGATGTTATTACGAAGGGGTGGTGGGTTGAGGTGAGGATGGAGCCTAAGATTAGGATTTTGAGGAGAGGGGTGGAAGTATGAGTTGATAGATTATTCAGGTTTTGTAAGAAATATACAGAGATACCCTTGTTGGATTGTCGGGTTAGTAGTAGTAGTAGTAGTAGTAGTAGTAGTAGTAGTAGTAGTAGTAGTAGTAGTAGTAGTAGTAGTAGTAGTAGTAGTAGTAGTAGTAGTAGTAGTAGCAGTAGTAGTAGCAGTAGTTAAATTTACTACTCGACGTTATACAAGAACCACAGAGCGGTCAGTGACTGCTGTGTACTAAGTTCTTATCCTAAATAGTACATTTCGAGCCTGGTCATACTAAGCTGAAGCATGATTATGACGATGGATAGACCTTTCTCAACCAAATAGGAAGTGCCATGAACTGGGACTAATGTCTGTGTTTGACTAGTCCGTGAAGCAAGAGGGACGTTGGGAATGAAGATTTCTACAGCCTTAGTGCTGCGTACGCTCTATCCTAGGGCGTTTGACAGTCTATTCTAACGTGGAAGACAAAATAGAGTAGAACGTGTAGCATTGCTGTTTCTTTGTAAGATGATCATGAAGATGGAAGATGCGTTGCTAATTACATGAATGAATATGTAGGGTTTTTGTAGGACCTCCATCCTCCGTAAGGAAGGTGCTGCCCGCAGCACTTAGCTTCACATGAACCCCGCCTGCAGCCTTGGGAGGGGGTTGGAGGGCTGTAAGCAAAAAGCAAACATGAGTGAGTGATAAGACAACCACTCATACATCCCTGAGTCCAATAGATCAAAGCAAAATCATGGTAAACAAGTCATTCAGATTTTGTTCCAATCTTTTGTGGCATAACTATCGGAAGAAAATAAACAATAAGAATTAAGGGGAAAGGCAGAGCTCCAAAGTACTGCCGCCAAGATGGAACCTCAATCAAGGCAAGACGCCCAAGAGAGGCTTAAATCGATTCAACGACTGATGAAAGAAACCTGTGCTCAATTCGAGAAGATCACCAAAAGGAGGCTTGAGTCCAGGAGATTCGAAGACGTTAAAAGTTTTGAAGATCTTATGAAGAAAATCTCATTCGGCGAGAAAGGAGACGATGATGAGTCCAGAGAAACAAGACAAAAGTTCCTTACGATTGTGTCTACTATCCAGACACTAACTGGACCTGTAAAGTCTGCTACCGATATAGTAAGTGTCCCATGTTTGGAAAAAAGCAAAGGAAGAAGATAAAAGAAAGGCAATCGAGATATCCGCTTGGGGAGGGATGTTCATATCTGCACATTTCATGGAGCTAAGATTCACCTTCTAGGCATTCTCGCCTGCAAGCGCTTGTGCTAGTGCTTTGTCATTTATCCTGGAAATTCCATCGAAGGTGCATGGCATCCATGAGTCAATCCGGGCTGTAATTGATGAAGTTGAGCCACGGTTCACTGAATTAGGGGTATATGATGGCATGAGCACAGTCATTGATCCGGTTCTGATAATCTCAGTCTGCAATGTCATGATGGCCTTCATAATTCTCTGTGCTCAGTGTGTGAAGCTCCTTGAGAAGGGCAAGGCTTACCGATACTTCAAAGAAGGGAAGTGGATTATGTCGAATCAGAATCCCATCCGAGAAGGTCTGGATAAGCTGAAGGCCCTTTCCGAGCAGAAAGAACAAGTTCAATCGATGATCATGTTGAAAAAAATCCTGAATTCGGGCGACAAGATCGACATCGTGGATGGTAAAATCGATGGGATTTCCGAGTACATCAGCAAGCGCTCTGATGAAGTTGCCCGCCAGGATGATCTGAGTAGAATCAAGAAAGATCTGCGTGTAACTTCGAAGGACGGGGTATTGATGGGTCATCGTGTCTATACGGAGACCCTTCGCATGGCGAAAGACAAAACATGCCAGTTCCTCGAGTCGAAGTCTTATATGGATTGGGCGCTCAACAAGGATGAAGGTGTACCACCATTGCTTTTGATCACTGGGGAAGCAGGAACAGGAAAGAGCGTCTGTGCAGCCTCAATGTTTCTGAATATCAAGAAGAAGGAAGCGTTCGCCGCCTATTATTCCTTTTCTCCGATGCCAAAAAGTCCTAAAGACCACCAGCAACCGCTGGAGGACTGTATCAGAGCTACGGGACTACAATTGGCAGAGCAGAATTCAGACTACCGGCGACGCTTGCTGCACTTTCTGAAAGCTGAGGAAGGGAGGGCACAGGAGACTGGTTATAAGAGCCTCCTGGACACTCTGAATGTTTGGCAGGCTCCAGATAAGATGATTTGTTACCTTATTCTGGATGGCCTCGATAACCTGCCAGAGCAGGAGTGTAAGGATTTCATGGATCATCTCATCACCAACCAAATCCCCTCCAAAAGGAACTCCTTGCGTGTCTGCGTCACAGGGTCAAGGAAAGTATTGCGCGCGTACTCAAAGCGGAGAGATTGTCTGCAATCTGAGGAGATCGGATGCTACACTAAAAGAGTAATCGCTGACTACACTGGAAAGTTCTTGGAAAAGAAAGATTTGTTGCAGGAAGACTTTCTGGACTTTGCTGACCTCAGAGAGTCAATATGCGAGACAGTGACAACCAACGCTCGCGGTAGCTTCCATAAAGTGCAGAAATGGCTTGACAGGATTGAGAATCTGATTCAATCGGATAACAGAGATGAACTCAGTCGCTTTCTCAGTGCGCTGAGCCGGGGAGGTTCAGATCTTGCCAAATCTGAGCTACAAGATCTTGAAAGAACACTCGACTGGAAGGAGATCGCGGAACTGAATGAGCTAATTATCTGGTGCGAATTCAACATGTCCAAGGATGTCATCCTCGATATTGACCAGCTTGAAGCCTTTCTGGTATGTATACTTCTCCAGAGCCTTTCGAACAAACCAAATAACAACCTAGAGCTGGTGTTGCCTGGGACAATTAGGGGTTGTGCTAATCTATAGTGGAAATAAAAGTTCATTCGCTCTAATTCACCGCCGTTAAGCTCTCTGCGAAAGAAAATACGGGATAGGTTTTCTTCGATCTTGGAGGAGAGAGATGATGGAGTTCGACTTCGCAAAGAGATGAAGCATTTGGTAATTCTGGATCAAAACAAGGACCAACATTCAGCCATTTCGGCCACTATATCCGTCCAAAACACAAGTATCGAAGTAGCCCAACGGTTCTTCTGGGATCTAGCCAATCATTCGGTGATGAATCGGTTCAACTTTGATGCAAACCAGATGGACATGGCGAAGCCCTCAACTCACCGCATTCGAGTCACGAAGTTGAACGCGCACTTGGTCATCGTGAAACGGACCTTCGAGTTTCTAAGAAAAGCGCCTGATCCTCTATCACGGCCGGTTGGGGAAATACTACTGGGAGAACTTCCGGCTCATCTAGCAGTCCTGCAGGAACCCTCTCAGCTTGAACAACTCACGGATACCGATCGACGAACCATAGGTGAGAATGTCCAAGAATTATTTCTAAGCCCAATGAGCCTTGAAAGACATTGGGATGTTCTGCAACAGACGAGATGGCATACATCCTCAGATGCCATAGATGCATTCTGGCAATGGCTGTCGGACGATGCTGCAATCAAACATCCGATCATTCGGGACAAGATCAGAGAGGTCTGGAATGACCCGAAACGAAACCAGAAGCTCTTTGAGCCACTAGCGAGGTTGGCTGGTCACAAATGGCTCCAGGACCGGTTGCCCAGTTCCACCACAGCGTCTTTTGAATGGCTCAAGGCTTTTCTCAATATGGTGTGTTATGACTCCTCTCTTCCGAGATGGTTTGAGCCTTGAGCTGACTTGTAGTAGGATGCAGGATTCGATTATGCCAGCCAAAATTCGGACTTTAGCTCCGAAGAGGATGATGACCATAGTTTCGAGTCTAATGATAGCATCAAAGTTGATGACGTTACAAAGGCTGAGAAATGGTGCGAGAAGGTACTGGGACCAAGCCGCATGCGCGAACAAGATGTTTGGGTACAACGGCTAGCCGAAACATATGAGTATGCCAATAGTTACAAGAAAGCTTTCAAGAAATATCAGAAGGTGAGTTCTTCCAAAGGTATTCTTGCCTCCGTCATGAAGGCAGCTCACATTTTCCATTCCTAAGGCCCGTAAGCTACTGGAGCGGATGGGGGGCATTGACCAGGAACGACAAGGAAAAGTCTTGGTCCGTCTAGCATCACTGGCTGGGGACAAGGACCAAGCTTTGCAATACCTCAAGCAAGCCCTGGGTTTGAGCGCCAGCAATATCAACGCCAGATATGCGCTAATCAAGAGTTTGTGGTCTCGCGACTGCAGAGAGGAGCTGAGCGACCTGGTTCTCGACACACTGAAGCTCAGAACGGCTTCGGGGCCCATGGGGCATCTGGGTTTGGTAATTCAGATGGCCATCGAAGATAGTGATTACGACGACACTCAGATGATGAACCTGCCTTACACTATTAGCTCTATATGCTCCTCCTCTGCCGATGACTTCGCTTTCTTACTGGGAAACATACAGACAGCAATCGAGAATGCCAAGGCACAGAACCGGGTCAAAACATGGATCACCTTACTTTTGCATAAAGGGATAGCATATGCATGCTATTCGGATGACCCTTCTCATGCTGATCAGGCGGTCAAAGCGTGGACAGAATGCGCTGAAATCATCATGGAGAAACTCAAATACCAGTCTGCTGGTGCCATTCTACTGGACAGAGTTGGGCGGCAGTTGGGCTGTTATTACTTCACACAGACATTGAAATACCCTGATAACGCTGAGATATGCTCTCAAAAGTTGAAGGGAGTATACCAGAACCAAAGGGGTATAGTTCATGGCATGTCTGCTGCGAAGACATACATGGCGGCAGACTTCATACGGCATGGAAAACAACCAGAAGCCGAAGCGCTCTTCCAGGCAAACATCAGAGAGGCATTTGACTTACTATCTGATGACACGACTGGTAATTATGTGGGCGGTCTTATCCGTCTGGTTCAAATCTTCCTTTATACCGGTGATCGAGTCAATTTTCTTAATGCCTATTCACTTATAGCTCGTCGAGTCCTGGATGTCGAGATTTTGGAAGAGTGGCTACGGTCTGATGTAAAAACCACGACACCGGAAGCTACCGAGCTTATGGATTTCTTCCAAGAAAACTGCAACAAACCGATCAGCGTTTGGTACAAACTTGCAGCACTTGTGCAATTCATGCGGCGAAGCCGAAACAAGTTGATGAACGAGACCCCCTGGAGTGATGATGACGCAGCCAAAATGAAGTCTTATGAGGCACTCTTTGAATCGATGACACGATATGCTAAAGCATTCAGTGATGCTAGATATGATTATTTGTGTGATGCGTGTGAGTGCGTCCTAGACACTAACAAAAGCATGTATGCCTGCAAGTTCTGCTATGATTTTGCCCTATGTGAGTCGTGTTTCCATCGCTTCCAACACGGGGCGCTCAAAATGTCTCTCTGCCACATTGAGCATGATTATGTGCGGATTCCACCCTGGGATGCGAAGGCCCATGTTCGCGCATTCCGGCGCAGAGTTCTTATGGATGCTACTGTTGCAGATGATGGGTATCTGGTTGGGGGTCGAGAAGTCCCGGTTGTGGAGTGGTTGAATTGCTTGAAAGCGAAATGGGATCCCCAGGGTGATTGGGATTTCCGGTAATGTGATTATATCATACTATAGTTTAAGATTGCTTCCATATAGTATTTTACTACCGAGCATATTCCCATCTTCTATAGGTACTAATATGAAAACGGTGGCTATGTTATACTACCCCCAAAAAGCGCGACCTGGGTACAGTCAAATAGCGAGTATCGCTTTCGTATTATAGATTTCATGATTCTTCAAGATCTCGCTTCGCTTATAGTTACAACTATGAACATATCCATTGCGCGAATCCAGTAACTATCAGTGGCTAAAAGTAGTTTCTATGTACGTTTCAAGCTCTGTATCAGAGTATGAAATTGCTACTACTGTATACTAATATATCATACCTTATCTCGTTGTGATAAGACAAATCATTCGTCACGGGCTCAGTAGAGACCGCCTGCGTTATTAAGCCGTAAAAAACACCAAATAGAAGTTTTATCTACATGAAATCGGGCCCGCGTTGAGTCTTTTAGGTTCCCATTCTGGAATACGCTATTGCGTGTTAATTATTGGTACTAATGGTAATTGTAGTCCGCTTAAACAAAAATTGGTATATGAGTACCCAGTACTACTATCGACCAGCTACAGTTACAAGAAATTTAGTGGTTATATGTTCATACTATTTCACAAACTTCCCCAATCATGCGCCTTGCCCCTCCAATCGATCCAACCTCGCCTCCAAATCCCGGACCCAAGGTTCCACAAGCTCGATATTGCTCTTCATTGCTGCTTCGCCCTGTCCCATCTTCTCCTCGACGACCTGCAGGCCCTCGCGCCACTGCTCGATCTCCCTTGCCATGTCTGCCTGTCGCTTCTCCAGTGTATCGAGTGACTCGGAGGCCTGCGCAGCACCAGCGTGGATAGCGCGCAGGGAGCGGAGACGCTCTAGCACGCTGGGGAGGATAGGGTGGAGGGATTGGATCGTGGGGAGAGTAGCGTAGAGGGCCTGGATCTTGGTAGCTTGTTCATCGCGCTGGGTAGCAGCCGGGTCGACCTCCGTAGCGGAGGATGACGAGACGGACATGTCCGAGGGCTCAATAGCGGCGGATGCGATGCGCGCGTTCTGAGCCGCCTTGGCGGCGTCCACGGCGCGTTTGCGCGCGGAGGCAAGGGCTTCTGTGTCTGCGGTGAGTTTGCGCACGCGAGTGGAGAGGGTCTCGAGATGCGGGGTGGTGACTGTTGTGGAGGGGGGTGCGGAGCCCATGGTTGGCACGGCGGAGACGGGGTTCGGGCCGACGAGGATGTTCATGAGGGTGGTGAGGCGGGATGTGAGGTGGTCGACGGCTGGGAGGACGGGCTGGAGCGCGGGTTCGGAGATTCCGTCGCTGACGAAGGGGTTGGAGGAGCTGGAGATGCCCATGGCGGCTTCGATGAGGGCGAGACGGCCGTCGAATGCTGCGGCGTGGGCGAGGACGCCGGAGGATGCGGGGGCTGTTGGTTCGGGTTGTTGTGTGGCGTCTGCGTTCTGAGTGCTAGATGCAGCGGTTTGGGATGTGGATTTGGTTGCGATCTTTTGTGCTAGAAGTGTAGCTGCGGAGTGTGATCCTGTGTTGTCGGTTCGGGAGGTATAGAGGTTGTCCAGGGCTCGGCTCAATTCGAGGACTCCGTCGTCCGTGGGCTCCTTTCCTTCTGCGGCTTCTGGTTCGGTTTCGTTCTGTCGAGCGGCCATCTCGTCTTTGAGTTCTTCTACTTCCCTGCGGAGGCGGGCGAGCTTCCTCTCGAGGCTTTCATCTTCGCTGTCGCTGATGTCTTCGGGCTCTTCTAGACCGTTCTCGTTCCTGCGCCGGCGACGGTTCTTGTTCTTGTATGCCTTTCGCTTCATCGCGATGCTGTCGGAGAAGTTGACATCGCGCGCGTCGACTGTGGCTCCTAGGAAGTGGGCGCGTGCTTCATCTGCGTTAATTCCCTGGCGGTCGATGTCGGAGTTGGAGCCGGCATCGTCGTCTGCATTGGATGCGGTGCGGATAGTTGTAGTCTATGGTATACAGTATGAAGGATGAGCAGTTGGATACTTTTGCAAAGGCCAGCTCAGGCGTCAGGCGGGGTAGCTAACCGGAACGGTTGATGCTTCATCGGTCAGATCGGGGGTCTCGTAGATATCGGGAGCGAGATCCTGGCCCAAACAAACGATGTTAGTAGACGGGTTAAGAGAGATGGGGTAGGAGGGAGGAGTGATGGGCGTACGTACCAGGTCGGGAAGACCAGCATACTTCCTATTGAAGGACATGGCCAATTGCTTTTCTTATAGCAAGATAATGGCCGACTGGAGACAAGGACAGGCAGGGTATATTTACAGAAGCACAGCAGGTGGAACTAAGAGAGTTGATGCTGGGTGGATTTGGGGCTCCTCCGCGGGCGGGCACGTGAAAGGGGCATCATCATTGGTGGCCTGAGGCATGAACGGCTGTATTCAAAAAGACGGGTACCTGACTATGAGTGTTTCAGTGTGTTTACCTGTCATGAACAAAGACATTATTGCTGGATTTGATTTTTATGGCGATATAGTATGGGTACAACTAGTAGCTAATCTGAGTATAATGTTATTATTCTAGAAGGAGGTTACTACATGTAGTAATTACTGGGATGTGCCAGTCGGTCAACAAATACTCCGGGCCATTATTTACAGCTTGGAAATAAATAGTCCGCAACCGAATGGTTGATCCATCACACCATCTGTACCAGACTGGAGCAACGTCTACCACGGCGAACCATTAGTAGTACTACTAGTACTACTCAAGAATGCCAGTCGCCTAATCAACTTGAAATAGGCGGTGGCACGTGTCAGATGCCTCGGCGGAAGTCACAGTCCGGCGATAGAAATGGAAGGAGCCCATCACATGAAGCCCCATCTAGTAGTTACTCCTGCAGCATATAAGTAGTCGGATTGTCAGCGCTGCTCCGTCCACGTCCACTAAAGTTCCTCTTCCACTCCCCCAGCTCATTCTCGTACAACCACTGTCAATCAGACCAATTGTCGTCCTGATCATCATCCTCATCACCCATTCTTACCTGTGACCCGCCTACTTTCAATTTCCGTATCTTATCACTATCACCCCTCATCGTACCATCACCATGGCTGCCCCCGCAGACAGCAACCTCAAGACCCTCAATGGAGAGTGGACAATGGTACACTGATACCTTTCCTTAATTTCATAAGAAATATACTGACATTACTGATCCTAGGACAAAACCCTATCCAACCCTTCAGAGCCCATTCTCGAGCTGGTAAGTCTCACACCCCACCCTTGTGGGCTCTACAAGTCAATCATGTATACAATTCAAGGCAATACCTCTCTTGCTTACATACTGCCGTGGATGGAATAGCAAGGAATGAGCTGGCTCATGCGTAAAGCTCTCAGTGTCGCAACAGTTACTCTCTCCATCCATGAGTATCCCGATGCCGCAGATCCGTCTTTATGGCACATCGACATCGACCAGACGGTCACTGGTGGCATCAAAGGTACAACCGAGAGACGCATCAGTGACAACAAGGTACGAGAGCACGACGACCATATCTTTGGCCATCTCAAAGGTCAGTCGCGGTTTTTCCGGGGATCCAAGGGCGAGGACGGAAAGGTGCGCCCTTATACAGAATTTGAGACCAAGATCGACGATCCCCAGGTCTACAAATTCCTTAGAGGGGAGATTCTAGCCGACGGAAGTGCATCCGAGGGCTTTGTTGTTGAGGAAATCGGTGAAGAGTTTGGCGAGGGAGAGGGGCTCTGGTATCTCAGCTTCGTGGAGAACCTGGACAGCGGCTGGACTGCCGAGCAGGTTCGTTTTTTATTCATGATTTCCGTCCTTTGCCATTTTCTGATGCAAGATAAATAGGTTTGGGGTTTCGAGATCATTGACGGCAAGCGCTATTACACTCGCCGTGTTGCTGTCGTCAAGGGCAAAACCTACAAGCTGGCCCGGCTGGTCTACAGCTTCGTAAAGCCACGGACTGAGTAGAGGCATCCTACGTGAGATGCTCTTGTTCGGAAGCTGTCATACCTTATTAATAGAATGCATGGCAGACAGGGTAGTGACCGCCCTAACACTAACCCCCTTAGAGGCGGGGCTCCATTGCAAGCTGTGACTACAGATATGCTGTATGCACTAGTTCTGACTAGGGATGCCCCACACAATAAAGTATCATTATGTTCCCTATAAAACAGGTTTCAATATCTTGATGTACTTCTTGAAGCATCCAAACTGGAATAGTAGCACAAAGCGTAGAAGACCATATTAGATCACATGCAGACAGCACGTTTTGGTCAAAATATCGACCACATCCACACGAGGATAGTATAAGCAGATGAGCGCAGAGACAGATTGGACTATGCGATTGACTAAACGATGCCATACAGCCAGAAACCCGAAATCATAAACTGAATGGTATTTTATAATTGAAAACGATCATGTCCGATGCAACCTATACATCATAAATCTCCCGTCCAACCAACCGACAAATAAAACCCCCCTCACGAATGAGTAGGCATAACGGTATGAGCCTTAGTGCTAACAGCATCCTCACTCCTCCACAAACTAGTCACCGTCTTCTGCTGGGTATAGAACTGCAACCCGGGCTTGCCATAGAAAGTGTTAGCACCACCACCGGCAATACTCTTCTTGTTACCGGTGAAAGAGAACATGGGCAACGGCACAGGGATGGGCACATTCACGCCAACCTGGCCGGCCTCGATGTCCTTCTGGAAGCGGGAGGCAGTAGATCCGGAGCGGGTGAAAATGGCAGCTCCGTTTCCGTACTCGTTCTTGTTGATGAGCTCGATGGCGTCGTCTAGTGTGGGCACAGACAGGCAGACGAGGACGGGGCCGAAGATTTCTTCCTTGTAGCACTTCATTTCGGGGGTTACGTTGGTGATGATGGTGGGGCCGACCTGTGGGGTTCGTGTTAGTTAACGAAAGATTACAGTCAGATAGATGGGGGTGGGGGCTTACAAAGTTGCCGTTGGGGTACTTCTCTGGCTTGTAGCCTCTGCCGTCAAGGAGGATGGTCGCACCCTCTTCTTCGGCGCTGGCGATCAGGTCCTCGATGCGCTTCTTGCTTTCGGGGCTGATGACGGGGCCGAGGTCGGCGCCTTCTTCGAAGCCTCCGTTGACGTGCAGTGCCTTGGCCCGTTCGGCCATCTCAGGAAGCCATTCCTGGGTCTCGCCGACCATGACCACTGTGCTCAGAGCCATGCACCGTTGGCCAGCAGCACCGAAGGCCGCTCCGACGAGAGCGTTCAGGGTCTGGTTCTTGTTGCAGTCTGGGACTACGGCGGCATGGTTCTTGGCGCCCAAGTTGGCCTGGACACGCTTGCCATTGGCAGAGCCGCGGGTGTAGATGTACTCTCCGGCGCGGTTGCTACCGACGAAGCTGATGGCCTTGATGGCGGGTTCGTCGAGGATGAAGTCGACAGTCTTGGCGGAGCCGTGAACAATGTTGATGACGCCGGGAGGGAAGCCTGCTTCCCGGGCCAGCTCGGCCAGGATCATTGCAGCTCCGGGGTCCCGCTCAGATGGCTTGAGGATGAGACAGTTGCCCGTCACAGTAGCGATGGGGATGCACCACAGGGGGATCATTGCGGGGAAGTCTGCCGAGAAGGGGAGGGGGAGCGGTTAGCGTCGGATAATGTCACCTAGCTTGCAGGATGACTGCAGGATCACTTACTGAAAGGACAAATGGCAGCAACCACACCCAGGGGCTCTCTGTAGCTCCTGGTCTCCATATCCTTGGCCACTTCGAGCACCTCGCCCGTGAGCTGGGTGGTAATACCACATGCTGTTTCGGCGACTTGAAGGCCGCGGAGAACATCACCCTTGGCATCGGCAAAGGTCTTGCCCTGCTCGAGGGTGATGGATGCAGCAAGTCGGTCCCAGTTGGCACGGATCAAGCTCACGAACTTGAACATGATCTGCTGCTTGGCAATAACGCTGGTAGCGCGCCAGGCTGGGAAGGCCTTCTCGGCCGACTCGACGGCGGCACGGAGTTCCTCATCGGTGCTTTGCGGCACGCGAGTAACGAGGTTGTTGGTGGCAGGATCGTGCAGGTCGATCCAGGTGGTAGCCTTGGAAGCAACAAACTGGTTGTCCAGGAAATTGGCGGTGTCGATGGGGTTGGCGATGGGGCTATGGTCCGTCGGGTACTCGGTGGCGGTAGTAGCCGCGGAGGTAGTTGCGGGGGTGAACTGCTGGGCAGTGGCGTGGAGTCGACGTGTTGCTGACATGGTGGCAGGTGAAGATGAGGAGAGCTTAGATGTTGCAGGAGAAGATGTCGAGGATGACGAGGGCATTATAACAGTAGAAAGGCGCCGCGAGGCCGAAGCTGCAGCTACAGATCTGGAGGTGGCTACGGCCGTGCGGGGAGATGCGGCGCGGAGAGCGGGGATGGAACGGACAATAGACCGACGGGCGGCCATGATTGAAAGATGGAAGATAATATATGTGAGAGATGAATGATCGGGGTCAGAAGGACAATGGTTTGAGGAAGAACTCCAAATCACGGGCAAGAGCAAGGGAAATAATTCAAGGGGGAGAAGGTGAGGACAGCAGGAAGGGAGGCAAAGTAGATAAATACGGTGGAGGCCGTTCAGGTACCAGGTTCATACTGGGTCTGGTACTTTCCCCGTATTGATGTGCATTCCGCCGAGGTTCTGATAACGCTCGGCGCCTCCAGCCAATCACATAGTCACCCGGAACTGCCTGCCCGATCCAGCCATTTTATGGGGTAATTTCGCAGCATTTTAGATCACTTGCCTGGAGAGAGCATTCACTGCCGACTACTATAAGCTATTTGTAGATAGTCCCAGTATAGCTACATTCGCCCTTCATGGAAACTGCGATACCTTCATCAAGTCTTTTCGGGGATGGAAGCTCCTGTGCAAGTAACAGGCGGGTATCGTCGGCCCTTCTCCGATGACGGTGTATAGGAACCTCGGACCGCAAGACGATCGGTCACAAAATTGTGACACCGCTGGAAAAGTTACAAGAACTACCCGTTCATTATGTGGACTAGAGAAACCAACAGTAGAATTCTGCAGCTTGGCTACTTTTACACATTTCACTTGCATTAACCTCCTCCCAAAGAAACCCCCCAATTGAGGTCTGCTTATCCTCTTCCTTGTATAGGCGGTAGCTGATGCCCCACTGGCCTTTCCACCATGGAATCAGAATGAATCATTGATTGAACGCTGCAACAGAGGTATAAAATAAAAACACAATGTAGTTAGGATATCCCTGGTTTGTTTGTTTGTTTTTGACTTTTTCGCCTTTTATCTCTCCTTTCTTCCCTGCGTGCTGTTCCACTGATAGCTGCACCGGTTTACTCGGCAGAAGAGCGGGTAGTGCGCTTGGTAGCACCACCCTTGCCAGTGTCCGCGGAGGAGCTGGTGGCCGCACCGGTCTTCTCCTTGGTAGCACCAGCAGCCTCCTTGCCCTTCTTGGCGGGAGCAGGAGCCGGGGTGCTGGCGCCAACGGCTCCGACGATGACGAGGATCATGGTGACGAGAACAGCGGCAAGACCACCGGCAACGTCAGGAACCTGCTTCACGGCGTTGATGGGGTCCTGCTTAGAGAGGCGGACAAAGTTGTCGACCTTCTCCTTGATGTGACCCACAGGGTCCTCCTTGAAGCTAACGCTGGGCTCGGCGGCCTTCTCTTCAGGCTTGGGCTTGTTGGCCTCCTCCTCAGCCAGCTCAACGGGGTGCTTGACATCGAAGGTCTCCTGGCGCAGCTTCTCAGCATCCTCGGCGGAGTGACCAACGTAGATGTTGTCGAACAGGATGTCGTTCTGCATGGTCCAGATCTCGAAACCAATCTGCATCATCATTAGTCACTCAAAGCCTAAGCCTTACAATGGAAAGGTACACTTACAGCGCCCATGGGCTCAAAGTTGGAGGGGGTCTTGTCCTCGAAGTAGGCAGGGTTGGCGATCTTGCGGGGAGCCCAGGGTCCCTTGTAGGCGGGGTTGTCAATCAAGGGAGCAGACCACTTGCCCTTGTAGTCAGGGTTCTTCTTCATGGGAGGAGACCAAGGACCACATCCGGAGGCGTCCTGGCACTTGGGGTTGGGAACAGTGGGAGGAACCCAGTCGCCATCCTCCTCATCATCCCAGTCCTCGGGCTTCTCAGCCTCGGGGTCGGGGATACTAGTGGGCTCGTCCTCAAGCCAGTCCTCGGGGATGGTAGCCTCCTCGTCGACAATCTCGAAGGGAGCCTCCTCGTCCCAGTCCTCGGGCTTCGTAGCCTCAGGGTCGGGGATCTTGGCCTCATCAACCCAGTCGGCGGGCTTCTTGTCCTTGGGGTCGTCAATCTCCTTCTCGGGGTTGACAGGAGGGTTGAAGTCCTCAAGGAGAGAACCTTCCTTGACGGACTCGCCATCAATCAGGATCTGGAAGGTCTGGTCGGGGTTGACGACCAGGGTGTAGACGGAGGTGACCTTGGAGGTACGGGCGGCAGGAGGGGCCTTAAGGTGCTTCTCCTCGTACTCGCCGGTCTTAGGGTTCTTGTGACGGAAGATGAAGTGAACCTAAGAAACTAGCTGTTAGTCCCCGTTGCAGTCGCCTGCACTAAGCAGCGTTTAGCAAGACCCTTCTTACCTTGTTGGTAGCACCGCACTTGTCGGGACCGAACATGATCACGTAAGGAGACGCGTTCGAGAACTCGTCGAGGTGGAGCTGCTTGTTATCCTGGAGAAGCTTCAGGTAGGCACCACCGCAGACAAGGGAGTCTGTGGCTATCGTTAGCGTCCCAGCACCGAGCATGCGCAGCAATTGTCACACTTACTCTGCGGCTTCACCTCATACTGGACGACCAGAGTCTTGTCCTTGTTGTCGATCTTCTTGGGGAACTTGGCCGAGATGGCGTGGTGGGCAGCGACGTTCTTGACGACGAGACCCTTGTCACCCTCCATACCCTTGAGGACAGTGGGCTCCTCGACGGACCATTCACCAACATAGGCCCAGTCTTCCTCGGACTTGGAGTCCTCCTTCTTAGCGTGAGAGGGAGTCCACCGGGAGTCCCAGTCATCGGTGAACTGCTCCAAGAAAGGAGCCTCGATGGAGGTGGGCTGGAAGCACGTAGTTAGCAGGGCGCGGCAGCACCTCTTGTCGGTCTGCGGAGATACTCACGGTGAAAGTAGGCTTCTCGGCCAAGGAGGTGGTCTCGGGCTTCTTCTCAGTCTCCTCAGCATGGGCATAGCCCATGATGGAGGCCGAGGAGACCAGGGCAGAAGTCAAAGCAGCGTTGAAACGCATGGTGGATAGCGACCGGCGCTCTTAAACCAGAACGTCCGAGAGAGGAAGAAAAGAAGAAAAACAAACAAAGGCGAACAAAGCGCACCAGCAATTGAACCTCCGGAGAGGGGGAATGTGGATCAGAGAGAAAGAGGAAGGCAAGCTCAACAGTCAAGTAGCTGCACGGGGAAGGTAAAGGGAGAGGAGAAGAGGAAGAAGGGAACCGTTGGAGCGATGGTTATATAAGAAGACGCAAGGTAATGCATGAAGCTGGGAAGTTCAAGGTGGCCTCTTCCGCTGCCGCGACTCCTTGTGGAAAGGTCCCGCCTGCCCGATCTGGCTAGTCGCGCTTCTCCAATGTTCTGCGGGTGCAAATCGGCTGCTGGTATTTGTCCGTTCCTCGGGATGTATTTAATTTAGTAAGTAGACCCAGAGTCTAGAAGAATTGCAGTTCATAGAATTGGAATCCAGTCACTGTCATATGTAATTTATTTCTCAGCAGCTTAAGAATGTTTACAGTAGGTATTATTACTGGATGAAGTAAAGGACCTTGTGGTCCATTTTCAATGACCTACATAAAAGATCCGATTATTCCTGTTCTTGGGAACTATGATTTACACAGACTCACGCTGTTCAGACTACTAGATGGATTACTTCCTTCTTCCGTTGCTTGTCCACCAATGGTCGGCGATGGCGCGAACACACTCCCCCCGCTACCTTAATCCACCCAAAGGCGTTAGTGAGGTGATTTGCTTCTGCTTTCCCCTCCCCGCCGCCTGACAGTTTTTTTATTTTTCTGTCAAACATCCTCTTGCCTCACCTGTACGACGTTCAAGGCAGTGTCGCTGTATTTCCAATATATATTCTATTTCTCTCATCGCAGGATCTAGGGAAGATCTACTGCAGATTTAGCGCTAGAGGATTCGTGACAATCACTCTAAAGCCGATCGCCCCGAGCTGTCTCCTATCTAATCGATCTTCCAACCACGCGCAATAACCATCGCCATGGCCCAAGAAATCCAAAAGGAGAACAATGACCATTTGGTCCAGTCTTCTGACCCCGAGCATCCCGCCAACTTGATCCCTGATCTCTGTCGCCGGTTCTACAATTGGGGCTGGGTCACCGGTACTGGTGGCGGGGTAAGCAATGTTGCACCTCTAGAGCGATCGTGATTAACCGCTAACTGATCACTGTTTATTATGCATTAGACTTCCATTCGTCGCGATAACCATATATTCATCGCTCCTTCTGGTGTGCAGAAGGAGATGATGAAATCCGACAACATCTTCGTCTTGGAATTCCCTACGCCCAAGTACCCTCCGTCCGATCGCAAATACATTCGCAAGCCGCTCGACCTGAAGCCCTCGGCATGCACGCCACTGTTCCTTGCCGCTTTTGAGCGCGGGGCTGGCTGCTGTATCCACACTCATTCTCAGTGGGCGGTCCTGGTGACCCTCCTGGTTGAGCGCGAAAAGGGCCCGAACGCCTGCTTTGAAATCAGCAACATTGAGCAGATCAAGGGTATCCCCCGTGGCAAGGGCAAGGGCATGATGGGATTCTTCGATACTCTTCGCATCCCGATCATCGATAACACCGCATTTGAGGAAGACCTCACGGGAAGCTTGGAGAAGGCGATGGAGGAATACCCGGACACCTATGCTGTCCTTGTGCGGAGACACGGAATGTAAGTTCTCATCTTCTAACCCTTGACTTTCGAGTGACGGCGGGCTCATGTATGTGTCTAGTTATGTGTGGGGAGACGACGTCGTCAAAGCCAAGACTCAGTGCGAGAGTCTAGACTACCTGTTCCAGCTTGCTGTTGAGATGCACAAGCTTGGTCTTCCTTGGGTGAAAGAAACGTAGTTTGAAGGAATTGTTCGCTGAAACGCTCAATTCTGCGTAGTCCAGCAGTTGGAGGTCTTCTGTATTGGGCCGCACGGCTATGATGATGATACATATGAAATAAATAACTGATTCACTTGAAGAAATACTGTACTCCAGTACTTCTTTGTAAGAAAAAAGGGGCTGGGAATTTGAGTGCTTAAGATATATCTCGGGGAATGTACTGGCTTGGTATTGGAATCCATCCAGCAGGCCAGTGTGTTCCTTGCCAAGTGCTTGAGCTCACCAAACTGACTGTAAGCATTGAATAGAAATCCACATGTCTTTGTATAGGCAGAAAAGACATTCTTATAGAGAAACATTGGGAAGAGTTGCAAGTTCAAATGGAGGTCAGCCTGAAGGTCCTCCATCAAGCTTGGCGGGGGAACCCTAATCCGTACTTGGACAACGGCGCGGATCATCGGACTACGGCAACCTGGTCGCTCCCTCCAACTCCCCCGACTGCGGTCTCTCCCCAACCCCTCACGCCGTCTTTCGATTCTCCAGCTAATTCCTATTCTTAATTGATACCTCTTGAATTTCGATCTATCCCAGTTTGATACCCACGTCTCTCATGGATCTCGACGCTGGTGACTCCCCGTGGGGCGGTAAGCAACCAGGCAGTCACGGATACAATCGCATCGTGCTTCGTCTAACGCAGGTATGCAGACGTGCCTTCGCAATCGAGCACCACCCATCAAGCATCCCGATCTGAAGCAGAGGAAACGTGTATGTCCCTAAAGAGCATCTTGCATCCCTGTACCTCTTGTCCGAGCTTTCTAACCTGATGACGACATCTCCCAGCTCCCGACCAACCGACACAACAAGCTAGCCCCAGTGCCCCCCGTTCCCCTGTACGACGAGGCCCGCGAGGCACCCGAAGGATCAATGCGCAAGCGACGAAGTTAGAGGCGGTGGATGACTCGTTTGATCCCCTTGGTCCGCTCGGGGATAAGGCGGAAACTAGTCCCCTTGAGCAGGCACCTGCCCCGCCGCAGAAGGAGTTCTCAGGGCGCAATGTTCGTCCCACATCATCTGCCTCCCAAGCGTCCGCAGGAACTGGCTTGGCGGATTCCGTGAATCTGGAAGAGGATGGTGCAGGATTTCGAGGACCTCCGCCGGTACAACCCCCGAGTGAGGCGGAAGGGGCGAAACGGCAATCAGAACCCAGTATTAGCGTGGAAAAGGCTGCGAACCCGACCTTCGATATCACTGTCGGCGATCCGCACAAAGTTGGAGACCTCACCAGCAGTCATATTGTGTATCAAGTGAGAACCAAGGTATGTCGTTCTAGTGGGATGCTGTGGGACACTGCTCATGCTACATATAGACGACTTCCAAAGCCTACCGACAACCGGAGTTTACGGTCAGCCGCAGATACCGTGACTTCCTGTGGCTCTATAACTCAATGCACAACAACAACCCCGGTGTTGTTGTCCCCCCTCCTCCGGAGAAGCAAGCGGTGGGCCGTTTCGATACGAACTTCGTCGAGTCTAGGAGGGCTGCTCTTGAGCGGATGCTGAACAAAATCGCGGCACACCCTATTCTCCAGCATGATGGCGATCTTAAGATTTTCCTCGAGAGCGAAACCTTCAACATGGACGTGAAAAACAAGGAAAACAGGGAACCAGACCTTGGCCAGAACAAGGGCATGTTCAGTTCCTTTGGCATTAACGTCGGTGGTGGTGGAAAGTTCGTCGAGCATGATGATGTAAGTTTGTCTACGAGTGCGAGCAGGTAGCCGTGCTGACAATTTCAGTGGTTCCATGACCGCAAGATCTACATGGACGCCCTGGAGAATCAGTTGAAGGCATTGATGAAATCGGTCGACACAGTGGTGGCGCAGCGCAAAGGACTGGCTGAAGCTGCTGGCGACTTTTCGGCTTCCCTTCATGCATTGGCAGCTGTCGAGCTGTCTCCTGCGCTTTCTACCCCCCTGGATGGCCTTTCCGACCTACAGCTACGCATAAGGGAGCTGTACGAACGCCAAGCTCAACAGGATGTTCTCACTCTGGGAATCACAATCGACGAGTATCTTCGTTTGATTGGAAGTGTGAAGACGGCTTTCTCCCAGCGCCAGAAGGCTTTTCACAGCTGGCACGCGGCGGAAGCGGAAATGCAGAAGCGCAAACATACGCAAGAGAAGCTCCTCAGGCAGGGCAAGACGCAGCAAGATCGTCTGACCCAAGTCAACGCCGATGTGGCCGATGCCGAGAGAAAGGTTCACCAGGCTCGGCTACTATTCGAGGATATGGGTCGGCTTATGCGAAATGAGCTCCAGCGGTTCGAGAAGGAGAAGGTGGAGGATTTCAAATCTGGGGTTGAGACCTTCTTGGAGAGTGCAGTGGAAGCCCAAAAAGAGGTGAGCAGCTACTTTTCCAGTATACAATTGTCACAAATATTTGCTAATATAGGTCTCACAGTTGATCGAGCTTTGGGAAACGTTCCTCTTGCAGCTGGATGCGGGTGAAGAAGGAAACCCCCTCTACGGCACCGCAGGACTTGGCGATGCTTCGGCGCCCCCTGCAGTCGAGGAAACCGCTGAAGCTACTCCAGCAGAGGAGGCATAGGCGGTTTCCCTACCTGTCAGACTCTGTACAAAAGAAAAGCGACGACTTGTTGATGTCCCCTCCACCCTCCGCTTTGCGGTATTACGCAACGTTAATTATCACTTTGCCTGCTTACTGAGAGGAGCGGCGCACGTTTGTTCATTTTCTTATGGCGAGTCGTTTATACGTATTCAATGGGATGGATCACTATAGCAGCGCCCTGATATCAATGGCTTCTCCAATGTAGTATAGTAATGGCTTTTATCATGTTCATTCACATCGACTCAAAGACAGTGCAATGGCTACACTCCAGGGAAAAAACAAGTCTTGAACCACCGATGCTGAAACTCCATTCAAATGGTATGATGTACTGTACATAAAGCCGAGCAAGATCTGTATCGTATAACAACAACATCGAGAAGAAATAAAAAAGAAACTGGAATAAAAGGTCCATAAATCGCCCACACTATCATCATACATACACCCCGGCACAATTCAATCCAACCCAATCAAATCAATCAATCAGATCAATCCTTCTTCTTCTTCTGAGAAGCCTGCTGCTCCTCCTGACCAAACGAACTGATCAAATC